GGAGCGGAGAGGGGTGAGGGGAGGAGAGTGGGAGGGAGAGAGGAGAGTGGAGGGAGGGACAGGTGGGGCCAAGGGGATTGTGAGGAGAGGATAGTAAATTAGGAGGAGGCAGAAGAAGAGGGAGGAGGAGAGGAAGAGGGTGGAGAGATGGATGAGGGTTGGAGTGAGAGTGATGGGGGTTGGGTGAGAGTGAGGGGAGGGATAGTTCTCACTCAGTGTCCTGGCTGTTTTTTCAGGATGCCAGGAAAGCATGTGGAGACTCGACACTTACACAGGTGAGTTTTCACACACACACTCACTCCCCTCTCCCTCTCCCTGTGCCTCTGCCCCGCCCTGTTGGCCACATTGAGCTGGACTACCTGCCCCCCTCCTCCTGTGTCTTTCACTGGCTCCTGTGTCGAAGGCTGAAGAGGTTCAGTTCTGTTCACCCCTCTGCCTGTCTCTCAGATCACGGCCGGGCTCGACCCTGTGGGCAGGATCCAGATGAGGACGCGGCGTACCTTGAGAGGGCACCTGGCCAAGATCTACGCCATGCACTGGGGTACCGATTCCAGGTGATTACTGTGTTCACACCTGTAACCTGTGTGAAGTAAACTGGACACCTGTCCTAGATCAGAGACGTGCACTGGGGCTTCAGGTCCACGTGATTACTGTGTTCACACCTGATACCTGCCATGTGTTACACCTAGCTGGACACACGGCCTAGGTGTACATCATTTAACTAGTCTTTATACACTAGAAGAGCCATGCTCTTGTCCTGTAGTCGTAACGCGTGTGCTCCTGTATGATCTCTGATAACATATCTCCCTTCCCAGGCTGCTTGTGAGTGCCTCCCAGGATGGAAAATTAATCATCTGGGACAGCTACACCACTAACAAGGTAAGCTCCTGATTTCCTGTTTCTGTAGATTCTGTCTTTCAGGAATAATGAGTAATTCTTTAAAACTGAAAAACAATTAACCTTTTTCTTGTTTTGGTCCTCCTGTCCCCTTCGCCATCTGTCTCTGTGTGCCTGTGTCTCTCTCGTGGTCCCTGTCTATCTTTGTGTCTCTCTGTCCCCTTGTCTGTCTGTCACCCTCTGTGTCCCCCTGTCTGACTTTGTGTTTGTCTCTGTGTCCCCTGTGTGTTTGTGTTGTCCTGTCTGTGTTTCTGTCTCTGTCCCCTTGTGTCTCTGTGTTGTCCTGTCTGTCTCTGTGTTGTGCCGTCTGTCTCTGTGCCCCTGTGTGTCTGTATTGTCCTGTCTGTCTCTATCTCCCTGTCTGTCTGCATGTCTGTCTCTGTCCCCGTCTGTCCCTGCGTCCTCCTGCCCTGTACAGATGCATGCGATCCCTCTCCGGTCCTCCTGGGTGATGACATGTGCCTACGCTCCCTCGGGGAACTACGTGGCGTGCGGCGGCCTGGACAACATCTGCTCCATCTACAGCTTGAAGACGCGCGAGGGCAACGTGCGAGTGAGCCGAGAGTTACCTGGGCACACAGGTACACCTGAACCGTGAGCAGATCCCAGCTGGCTGCTGGCAGTGGGGCTCGGAGGCGTTCAGGCTTTGTGTCTCAGTGGATGGATCTGTTCCTCTAATTAGCACACAGGTCTGTTAATTACAGTCCTCTGTAATTAATAGTGGAGCTTCTTGTGTCTTTGTCTACTGGGAGAGGGAGGCAGAGAGTCTGAGGAGACTGGAGCATCACAGCTGCACAGTACACTGCAGCTACAGCAGCAGGAGCTGCACTTGTAATGGCAGTAGTAATAGTTGTAGGAAAGAACTGCAGAACTATTAACCATAGTAACAGCAACACTAG